ACAAGGAAAAAAATAATTCTTATATATATTTTTATTTACAAAAATAAACAAAAGTTTATTTTACTTTATTTGTAGTGCATTTTCCTTTTATTATTTGTTTGAGGGACTTCTTTGCACCCTCTACAAATTGGTGACCGACGTGAGACATTACATTTAAAAAAACAAACAAAACGAAGAGGAAGGACACAATGGAATCACAATCTTCGGAAACCCCTCTCGCCACACTATCGTTGAATATCCCGGCTTTCAACACGACTAACACTAAGTCCTGGTTCGTTCATATCCAGGCATTATTTGATGCGAAGCGAATCACCTCCCAGAGAACCCGGTATTGTTACTTAGTGGAAAAACTGCCAGCAGACATCGTCGAGGAAGTAATGGATTTACTGGAAAATGTCCCGGATGACAACCCGTACGATAGACTCAAGGAAGCAATTTTAAAACGGACCGGTGCCTCGAACGAAGCCATGCTACGCAACCTTTTCACTCAGGTTGAATTAGGAGACCGCACCCCATCGCAGTTATTGAGGCACATGCGAACCTTACTGGGTGACAACAAAATGTCCGAGAACATAATGCGGAGCTTATGGCTGGACAAGTTACCCACTACAACAACACAAATCCTTGCACCCATGACGGAGGAAACGCAGACAGAAAAACTCGCGGACATTGCAGATCGGATCCATGAAAGTTTTCGAAGCCGCAGGGTAAACTCTATCCAACCACAACCAGCCCAACAAAGAGACAGGGAATTTAACGACCTCAAGTCTTCTGTAGGAAGGTTGTCTATACAATTACAAGGCTTACTGCAAAAAGACCGACAGTACCGCCGCGATAAATGTCCAGGCTACAGAAAGCGAAGTTTCAGCAGAGGCCGGACTGACAACCGCAATCGAAAAGATGAAATTTGTTACTACCACAAAAGGTTTGGTCCTGAGGCGAGACGTTGTACACATCCTTGTTCTTTCAACAACGCGAATGTGGGAAACGGAAATTCCAGCCAGTAGAGACGACGGCTGTTGCTGGATTTTTAACAAAAGTTCGTCTGTTTTATATCCGCGACAAAATTAATGGATATAACTTTTTAATTGACACCGGAGCTGAAATAAGCGTGATACCACCAACACAAATTCAGGGGACTATGCCACAGTCTTATCATTATCAAGCAGCTAACGGTACCAAAATACCAACTTACGGAGAGAAATCGCTCAATATCAATCTCGGCATGCGACGGAATTTTTTTCTAGAATTTTACCATAGCCAGTGTAACAACGCCTATATTGGGGGCAAATTTTTTAGCCAGATTCAACCTGTCTGTCGACATGACTAATCGCACACTGGTGGATAATCAAACCAAGATTTCAGTAAGAGGACTCACCTCGAAATACCAGTCTACTGGAATCAGTTCTGCCTTACCCGAGGACCAGTACATCCGTCAGCTACTAAAAAAATATCCACAACTCTCCCAGCCATTTAAAAACACAGACACCATAAAACATAATGCCAAGCACCACATCAAGACAACTGGACAACCTGTCTATGCCACCCCCAGACGATTGAAACCGGACAAGTATAAGATTGCGAAAAACGAGTTTCAACATTTATTACAGCAAGGGACCATCCGACCCTCGAAAAGTGCTTGGTCTTCACCGCTGCACATGGTGCAAAAGTCCGACGCTACAACATGGCGTCCTTGTGGCGATTTTAGAAGATTAAATGCTAAAACGGTCCCGGATAGATACTCTATTCCACATATCCACGATTTCGCCATCGGTCTACAAGGCGCCACCATATTTTCCAAATTGGATCTTGTAAAGGCGTACTACCAAGTTCCAGTGGCAGAAGAGAACATTCATAAAACTGCACTGACCACACCATTTGGCCTTTACGAGTTCGTAAGGATGCCTTTCGGGCTTAGGAACGCCTTTCAAACCTTCCAGAGGTTAATAGACGAAGTTTTTAGAGGTCTACCATTTATATTTGCATATGTGGATGACGTTTTAATCGCCAGCAGAAACCTCGACGAGCACAGACAGCACTTAGAGCAAACATTTGAAAGAATATCACATTACGGTCTGGAAATAAATACAGAGAAATGCATTTTCAGCCAACGAAAGTTTAATTTCCTCGGACATTTAATTGACAAGGACGGAATATCTCCACTACCCGAGAAAGTAAGTGCAATTTCAATACCTAATGTCGGCAAACGGTTAGCGGCTTTTTGTTGTCGCACAAACCAAACGAGCAAACGCTTCATTGCATTCTCATCGCCGGCATCACGTGCGTTAGAGCCAAGCTGCATATGCAGCAGGCAGCTTGACCCCGTTTACGCCCAAACTTGCGCTTGTCAAATCATGCGCGCGTGCGTGAATGTGCGCTAGCATCTTCCATTTTGCGTGAGCTCATTTATTGGTCTAAGACCCGGCAGCTTTGCTAAGCGTGCCAAAATAACATGGCGAGGCAACCTTAGCAGGCGTTCTAAAAGAGCCTCTGCGGCAAAGAGAAGGCAGGAGGAGGAAATCGAGGTAGAGGCCTCTTTGAGGCTTTCCAGACAATCTCAACGGAGGCAGTATGTTTTGTCACATGAAACGCTTGGTGAGCGTAACTACCGTTTGTACTTCAAATCAATTTACACATATTCGTTTAAAAGTAAGAGGAAACTATCTAAACGCTTGCAAGACAACAAAAAAGCGGCTTCATCACAAGCGCTTCTGCGGTCTCAACAGAGCCCGCATCGAAAAGCTACTCGTAAGGCAGCCGACGCCGCTGCAACTTCTATTCGACGGTCCCAGGAGACCATAGCTGAGAAAACCGCACGTAGTTACAACGCTCCCGCAATTAACGAAGTTTCTGTCATTGTCAGCGGTGATCAGCACAACAGACGTGAAATTGTTACGGCAGTGGGCTCCGAAGAATCAGTATCATCTTCATCAAAGCCGGCAACGTTTCCCTCAATTCATAGTAGACATGGCTGCTAAGATGGAATCCGAAAGACTGTTACATCAGATCGAATCAGACCAGGTTACGCTGCGACTCTTACATTCACCTCCGTGATGTTTTACGAAATGACGCTGATCCACGCAATATCGGCAATATGTGCATACTACATGCAACGTTCACAGGAAGTCCAAGATACATGCACGCGGGGACTCAAGACGCGATGACATATGTTCGTAAGTACAGCCGACCAGACCTATTCATAACTTTCACGTGTAACCCATAATGGTACGCAATTGAATGTTGTATTCTTCTTTAATAATTCCTAAGTATTTGTATGTACCATCTTAGTCTAGTACCTTTTTGTTGATATCAATGTCTAAATCTGTATTTGAAGGTGGCTTTAGCACATTTCTCGATTCCGAACTCCATCTAAATGTCTTCGCTGAATGGTATGATAATGGTGAGAAGGTTTTTCTACTTGTTATCATCCTTGGCAAAAATTTTAAGATCATCAATATAGAAAAGGTGATTCAGTTTTCCATTCTGTGGTTTGTACCATACTGACTGTTGTTCAGTAGGCAGGTGAGTGGCGCTAATGCAATGCATAAGAGTGATGGTGACAAATAATCTCCTTGAAAGATTCCGCTTTTGTTGTTGATTGGTCTCGATGTTAAAAACTCATTTGTATGGTTTAGTGTAGTCTTCCAGTTTTTCATGCTCCCCGTTATGAATTTGACTGTTGTGGGGCAATACTCTCTATATTTTTAGGCTCTTCTTTATTGCTGAAGGTGGAACACTGTTGAATGCATTTCTGAAGTCGATCCATGTGTCAACAAGTGTCTTTTCTTTGTTGGTTCTTTCGCCCGTAACTTTCTCTTTTATATCTCTTCTGTTCTGCTGGTAGTAAATTGTTTTTCTCAATGAGGTTGTATGTCCTCTCGGTTATGATAGAAGTAAGGATCTTGTAGTTTACCCACATTTTACACCAGAACTCATCGACTTCGTGGTTATTACGTGGTTCATTTATTTCTATGTTATTTTTTTTAAGTTCTCGATAGATTTTCTTGGTATATTCTTTGAAGATCTTTTTTTGCCAGAAGAATCTATTCTATTTCTTTTTTTCATAACGCCTGATTCTCTCTGTCTTCGCTTGAATTTGTTATTTCAGCTTTTCTAACATTTGGTACGACAGTCTTATTCTTTTTGTCAAGGCATCGTTTCAGTTGTCTTCTTATTTCTTTATTTCATCTTTGAAACCTTAACTACTTCACTTAGAAGTGATAACTTTCCTCGCCGATTATTTATTTCAGTTTCTTTTTTTTATCTATCTATGAGTCAATATATATATATATATATATATATATAACATTAAAAGTATATGAAACTTGCGAAATTCGGCCGAAAACGAAAAATTATGTGATTGTAGAAACCCTAAAGACTGCCCGTTGGAAGATAAATGCCTAACAAAAGCCGTGGCATACCAATGCACTATCTCATCCATTGAGAGTCCTAACACTGATAGGATATACATAGGCTCAACGAAGAATAAATTTAAAATTAGATGGAGGCAACACAAGAGCTCTTTCAACAATATTCAAAATAGAAATCAGACATCTCTATCCCAATATTTCTGGCATGTAAAACAAACGAATAAAACACCAAAAGTAAAATGGAAAATAGTAAATAGAACAAGAACTTGTAAAACCTGGGATGACCCATGCCCTTTATGCCTACACGAAAAACTACACATCATTAAGTTTCTAAATAATGAAAAATTATTAAACCATAGGCAGGAGTTAACGGACTTTTGACGAAATCAACAAATTTTCGCTTTAAATAATTAGCATAAAAAAAATCCCATGGTTTAATAAAAGTCTTAAAAGCTAAGCCAAATCATTAAATAGGAAAAACCCTTTCTGTAGTCTTCAAAAAACAAATTGAAATTCAGTGTAATACGGTTTGTATATAAAACACCCACTTGAATAAACAGATAAATCAATAGATAATCAGATAGACAATAATAAAACAAAATCCCCCCTACACATAACGACTTGTAGGCGCGCCATAAAAATATCCCTCACTGGGAACTAACTAGAGGATGACCGCCAACATTAGCCTTGAAATAGATACCCTACCCAACCTGAGCAAAACCTCTCAAAAGATGATGAATCTATAGATAAGAATTAACTCTCTGACCACTTAACCAAGATGACTCACCTAGCTACTCTCACAATAACGAATGTTATAATGAACCATGCTTAAAAACACACGTAAACCAAGAGATAGCTTAATCCAAAAAAAATTCGCTTGAAGATGAAACGGGACTAAACACCTTAATTCAACTTAATTTTAGTAATTATTTGGATGGTTTCGGCTCTCGTTTTTGAAACATGACAACTCTTATGTAGCGAAGAAAACATATTTTAAACAAAAAAATATATATATATATATATATATATATATATATATATATATGTGTGTGTGTGAAAAGTGTATATAAATATAAATATATATATATATATGTATAATTATTTATATATTATATGCGCGGTACTTATTAGAAAGCGCTCAGTATCAGAGATAGAGCTAATATATCTGTCCAACCAAATATATATATATATATATATATATATATATATATATATATATATATATATATATATATAAAGGATGGATTTTTTTTTTTTTAAGACGTAGATGATCATAATACTCATGAGAATCCATTTCTTCATTATATGTGAATTGCTTAGGAAAGATAGTTGAGTTGTGTGCCGTTGTTATCTATACCAGTTCTCGGTGAGTGCTTTCCATAAAAGACTAGATTTTAGCAAAGTTTTACTGCTATTTAACTGATTTGAGAAGAGACAAATTGATGCTTTACCAAAATGGCATTAACGCAAAAGTGAACACTGCCAGCATTTGAACTCGTTTCGTCGATTCCATTTTGTTTGCGCCAATAACTGTTACGCTTTTTATCAAAAAACACCGTAATTTGATTAACAATCGTAATAATTGTAGAAGAGTCCTCCTTTTTTTTTAAAAAATCGACTACCAAATAATTCCTCAAGTATCTGTGGTCTTCTGTAATAGATTACGAATTAATTTATATATTTAGTAATACCGGCAAAACGGAACTATGTTCTGAGCTTGTGAATTCGCTCACAAATGTATAATTTTTCGCAAATAGGGACAACTTTCAATTTTAAAGAACTTCTTGAAAGACGGCATTTAGCGTAAAAATGTAATATTAAGCATTTTAAACACCATGTGAATTAATATATTTATCGGACATGTTATCTAGTTTCACATTTTACTAATGATATATTTCGTTGCGCTCAGAATAGACAAGAAATAAATGCCAGTATCTCATTACTAAAAGGTAGGACCATATTTATTAAAGCATTGCAGTTTTCACTTTTTCGTGTTATGTTAGTTTTATAGAGGGACTTACCTTGAATTATTTAAAAAGAAAATCTTTTTTTTTTTCATTCAATGATAGAACAACAGTAATGATATAACTCCTTGATTATAAACGCAGAAAATATAATCAATGCATTTAATCAATAACACAGTCGTTTTTAGATGGTGCTAGTAAACTAGGGCAAATATCTTATATATAAACTACAGTGTATGTGTGTGTGTTTGTGCTTGTGTGTCCAAGCAACTCAACCGCTCCCACTGGTCAGATTTCAATGACTCAGATCTCATTCAAAAGCACTTGAAAAGGTAGGCGGAAGGAACGATTTTCGTTGAGCTCAGATTCAGGGTTGTTAGATTATGCGAGGTTAAAAATATATTTTATATCCTACTAGCCATTAGTGTTGCTTTCATAGTTCAAGGGAGTAACACTTCCTTTTGTATCCAAAATTGCAGTGCACATTTTATTATAAACTAGCGTAGATGACGCCCGATGGGGCAGCATTTAAGCTAGCTCCTGTGGAGGACTCTTTGTTTGGCCATCATCACAATAGGTGGGAAAGAGTAGATACGATAGGCATCAATAAACTACAGAAGAACTCAAAAATTTATCGCTGCATTTAAGTTATGAATTAATGTTTAAGCTTACCGTTTAAAAGCTCAATGATAATTCTTCCGTCGCCCCTTAATTTTAAAATGATTTGATGTACGTAGATCCTTATTTTCCGTACAAACAATTATTTTTATTTCACAAGTGACAGAACAGTGGTCAATTTATAAAAGACGGGGAAATAGAAATTAGAATTAGTTATACATCCAACATATGAAGTGTTACAGAAACATGATAGCTAATTAATTAAAACCTGCATGATAGAACCCGTATGAATAAATGCGAGAAGGGAGCTCAATTGTCCCAGGAATTCTGAGATTTAAAATCCTTCATTCTTTTATTCGAGGATTGTTTCGATTTTCATATCAAAAAAAGTTCGGTTTAGGAATATTGTCTTATATAGTGCAGAAAAGTGTTTGAAATTTGCATTTTACTTGGCCTTCAATAAGTTGGCATCTATTTGTAAAAAAATTCTCCTTAACTATAATTTCATTTAAAATTTTCGTTTCAAATATTTCAATTAGTGAAAATATCTTACTTTGCGAAGCGATAACGAGCGGGCGAAGTCTGCTAGTATTCTAAAATTGTAATCTCTGCTTCTCTTTTTCGATTTCTATTTTCAAAACGTTTTAAAGCCGTTTTTACTGTTGATAATACGCTAATCTAAACCTATTGTCAAACATTAAGTCATAATACAATGTTATCAGTCCTGATTTGGAATATCGGCCTCAGTCATATAGGCAGCCGCTTTAATGTGACTGACCTGTATCTCATCTATAAATACTTTTATGTCATTAATTATACTGATGATCTTTATTCTTAGGATGTGCACCGCATTAATTTCAGCATATTACTGGATTGTCAAATACGTATCATGATTTACTGCTGAAATAGCCATGTGTGACCATAAGTTATATTCGATTATATTCCTACATCTAGCCAGTGGAATTCAGTCCTGGCTTCTTTCTTTCCTGTTAAATAAGATCATAAAAAAATTAAATAAAATATCAC